GGCAATCAAAATATGGTACAGGAATTGTGTTCTGGGAACACGAAGAACACGAAGTGGCCTACAGTTGGCTCAGGGCATTCAACATGTGGCTTGTGTTTTGGGAAGACGAAGAACACGAAGTGGCCTACAGTTGGCTCCGGGCATTCAACATGTAGCCTGCGAATGGTGTTTTGGGAAAACGAAGAACACGAAGTGGCCTACAGTTGGCTCCGGGCACTCAACATGTGGCCTGGGAATGGTGTTCTGGGAGCACGAAGAACACGAAGTGGCCTACAGCTGGCTCCGGGCATTCAAAATGTGGCCTGCGAATGGTGTTCTGATGGCTCCGGGCAGTCAAAATGTGGTTCCTGGCAGTCAAAATGGGGAGTCCCCGATTTTCCCCGGCACCCGTCCGGCATCTGCCCAGACCCCGTTGGGGAGTCATGATGCTTTCTTTTGACCCTCCTAGAGAACTATCAGTCTTCGCTTTTATAGGTAACTAGTCAGGGGACGGTTTTTGTTTTACTACTTTTTGACTGTTTTTGATCCCTTCTTGATCATTCTCCGACCTGATGATAGGAACAAGCTGCGGTTCGGCGGCGAGCGAGGGGGGAACGCGAGGGGGAGAGGGCAGCAGGCCCTCTTCAGGAGGCGGCGCGGCTTCTCAGAGGCCCTCCGGCCTTCCGAGAGGTTCTCTGCGCCTTCGGGGAAGGCTCCGACAGCCTTGCAGGAGCCTGCGGGACTTCGGAGCCTCCCGAGGAGGCCCGCCCCCTCTCACTTCCCCCCCGGGCGAGCCGCGGGCCTCCTCCTCCTCCTCCTCCTCCTCCTCCTCCTCCTCCTCCTCCTCCTCCTCCTCCTCCTCCCCTCGAGGACGTCCCGATCGATATTTTTTCTTTCACCAAAAAACAAAATCTTTCCTCCCGGATTCTTAGGCCGTCTTGGAGCATTGTTGAACCCTTTTGGGTCCTCTTGGGACCATCCTGGCCGTCATGGAGGCACCCTGGAGGCACCTTGAGAGGCCCTCCGGAGCCACTTGGGCCGTGCTCGAGGCGATCCGGCCCACGAGTGCTGAGTGTTCGGCGGCTTTTTGTGTGGCCAGGGCGCAGTGGGCCGACGCCCCCCCGGGGGATCGACTGCACGTATCAGACAGAGGCGAATCGTTTTGGCTCGCCTATAGCCCTACCAAACAATGTTCTAAGAACCTTTTGTGGTTCCCACGAAATGTTCTTAGAACGTTTCTGGCGGGGTCTGTCTTGTTTGAACACATCGGGTTTATGTTCTACGAACTTATTGTTATTAGAACATTGTTGGGTTCTAAGAACATTTCGTGGTAGCACTATAGGAATGCCGGGACGGTCGGGCCCTGCTCAAACGTAAGAGTGACCTTTCGCCGGAGTGACCTGTGGTGCGGGCCCGTTGGGGTCCCCGACCGCCGAGCGCGATGCGACAGGAGGGTCCTGCGCTCTTGTGTGTTGACCCCCCCCCGCGGCCCCCCAGGAAGCCGAGCACCAGAGGTCACCCTTGCCCAGGGTCGCTCTTGCGTGTGGCCGAGGCGGAGTTCTCCACACAACCAGGAGCCGTTCGCAGTTCCGCACGCCAGATACCCCCGCGCAGGCCCGGACCACCAGGGCCGCGGTCTGGCGTCGGGTGTCTCGCGCGCCCCTGGCCTCTGGTGGGGCGTCTCCCTCTACAGGAGGAACGGTCAACAGTAGTACAAACATAGTCTGTGGACTATCTTTGACAAACATAGTTCAAACAAATAGTCTGGGGACGGTTGTTTAGATCAAACATAGTCTGGGGACTTCAGGGGGGTATGCCCGACCTAACCCTGGCGTCTCGGGCGTCGCTGCGACGCGCGTCAAGGCGGCGCCGCTCGGGGTGCCGCACCCCCACGCCTGGGGGGCGGCGCTCCCCCGGGGCCGCGGAGCGGGCCCTGGTGCCCCCGCACCCTTCCCGCGGCGCGCGGGGCGGGCAGGGTGTGCAACGTGGGGGCGGCGGGTCGAAGACGCCTACGGCGAATCGCCGCCGCCGGCCGCCCCCTTCCTTCTTTTGCCTGCGGACGACCTGTGTGCACCGCACCGCGCTGGCGTCTCCCGAGGCGTTGTCGATCTGCGACCCAGGGGCCCAGGAGTGGCATGGTGCATAGTTTTTCGGCCCTTCGGATAGAAAAAATACAGCACCGGGGCCCCCAGCGTTCCACGGTGTCTCTGAAGACCGGTGTCTCTCTCAGCACCGGGGCCACCCTCTCCTAGAACACCGGGTGTCTCTGAAGACCGGTGTTTTAATTTATCGGGCCCTTCCCCTCGCCTGTGTTTTTTTTCTTTATTTTGTTTACTTCTGGGTTGTTGCTGTAAGGAAAGAAATATAGTTTTTCGGCCCTTCGGAGCCCCAAAAACTTCACCGTACCACGTTGGGGCGGGACCCGAACGGAGTCTGGGCACGGTAATTACGGTGCACGGGCGCCGCTCTCGTCTTTGGGAGTCGCCCATGCGGCCGAGCGCTGTGGCAGGAGCTCCGCCAAACCATGGGGCCATGGGTTCCCCCCAGCCGTTGTGGAGACACTTCGGGGAGCACTTGGGGGAGGATGGTGGAGAAGATCAGGATGGGGAGGAGGAGAAGAAGGAGGAGGGGGACAAGGAGGAGGAGGAGGAGGAGGAAGAGGAGGAGGAGGGAGCATCTTGGGAGCCTCTTGGGGCCTCCTGGGAGCTTCCTGGGAGCCTCTTGAAGGCAACTTGGGGCTTCCTTGGGCCTCTTAGGGGCCCTTTGGGGACTTCTCGGGGGCCTGATGCCTGCTCATGGTTGTTGCTGCTGCGCCGTTCTCTTCCTCCGCGCCTGTTGCATACGTTCCTTGGGGGCCTTGGTTGCGGATCCTCGATGTTAGATTTTCCGCGACCCTCGGTCCTCCGCAGGATGCAATTCCTGGAGATTGACCTCAACATCGGCGCTGGTAGATCCGTGGCCAAGAAACAGCACCGTCTGGCATAGTCCTGCTCAGTCTGGCCTGATGCCGCTTCACTCGGCCTACTCGCGGGCTTCATCGGGCCTGATCCAGGAGTTGCTTCCCAACCCCCCTCTTCCTCGATCCCCAGTGTTCCTCGATCCTCGATCCTCCTCGACCCTCTTCTCTTCACTTCCCGATGGTCGACCCTCTTCGATCCTCCTCGCCCGGGCTTCCTGGAGGATGCGGGGGGGGGGGGCGCGGAAAAGGGCCAGGGGGCCGGGCCCGCCTCAGGTCGGACGTCGCCTCGCGCATCCAGGCACGGGTCCTCCAGGCGCAGCCGATTCTCGAGGCCACCGCCCTCGTCGCCTCCTCCCGCCTCGTCATCGTCGTTGTCGTCCTCCTCTTCCTCCTCCTGTTCCTCTTCCTCCGCCTCTTCCTCCTCCTTTTCCTCCTCCTCCTCCTCCTCCTCCTCCTCCTCCTCCTCCTCATCATCATCATCATCATCATCATCATCATCATCATCATCATCATCATCGTCCTCCTCCTCCTCCTCCTCCTCCTCCTCCTCTGCTCCTACCTCCCTCCATCTTCTGCCTTCTCCTCCTCCTCCCTCTCCTTTCCCTCCCTTCCTTCTGCACCCCCCCTCCTGCTTGCGCCTCCTCCCGCCCTCCCGGTCTTCGTCGTCCTCTTCCTCCTCGGCCTGCCTGCCTGCGCCCTCCTCCACCTCCACCTCCTCGCTTTCCTGCTCCTCCACCTCCACCGTCCAACCTCCTCCTCCTCCTCCTCCTCCTCCTCCTCCTTCTCCACCTCCACCTCCACCTCCTCCGCCACCTCCTCCTCCTCCATCATCTCATCATCATCATCATCATATCATCATCATCATCATCATCATCATCATCATCATCATCATCATCACATCATCATCATCATCATCATCATCACATCATCATCATCATCATCGTCCTCCACCCTCCTCCTCCTCCTCCTCCTCTGCTCCTACCCCCCTCCATCTTCTCCTTCCTCTCCTCCCCTCTCCTCTTCCCTTCCTCCTTCTGCACCCCCCCTCCTCTGGCCTACTCCGCCCTCCCGGTCATTTTCGTCGTCCTCTCCTCCTCCGGCCTGCCTGCCTGCGCCCTCCTCCACCTCCACCTCCTCGCTTTCCTGCTCCTCCACCTCCACCGTCCAAACCTCCTCCTCCTCCTCCTCCCTCCTCCTCCTTCTCCACCTCCACCTCCACCTCCTCGTTTTCCTGCTCCCGGGCGTTGCCTTCAGGCGTCCCGGCCCAGGCTGCCCCCAGAGGATTTCCCCGCCGGCCCCTGCGGCCTCGAGGGCACCCCCAACGAGGCCCAGGTCGCCCCCCCAGTGGGGCCCCAAGAGGGCGCGAAGCGCTCTCCGAGACCCTGGGCCAGGAACGCCCGGGGGCAGCCCCCGAGCCTCTCGGGCCGCTCCGCCCGCAGCGACAGTCTCCTGGCATCGCTCGGGCGTGTGCATTTTTCCTTCGGCGAGGGCCCTCGAGGAGCATCCTCGATCATTTGGCGAGAAAAAGCCACGCACGAAACCGAAGCAAAAAAAAGGGAATGGACGTCCGACGTCCGGGCGATGGCCGGAGCCCCTCGGGCCGCTCTGCCCGCAGCGACGGTCTCCCCGCCCCGCGGCCTTCCCGCTGCGGGCGCCCGTGCCTCCCGCGGGGTCGGGTGGGGCGGCCACCCTCCCCCGCCTCGTGACTCTCTGGCGTGCTCCCGGGGCCATCCTCCGCAGCGTCAGCCGCTCCTTCTCGCTCCCCCGGGTCCCCCCTGCTCTCGGGGGGGGGCCACGGCCACGGCCACGGCTACGGCCACGGCCACGGCCACGGCCACGGCCAGGGCCACGGCCACGGCCACGGCCACGGCCACGGCCACGGCCAGAAGGGGTGGGGAGGGTACCGACTGCGGGAGGCGGGGGAAATCGTGGCCATCGGGCAAGATCTCTCCTCCCTTGGCCCCTTCTGGGCCGCGCAGGCGCCTCGGGCCATAATTCGCCCCATGGCCTCCTGGCCCCTGTACAGCCTATTATAGCCCCATGGCCCCGAAGCCCTGCAAAGGTGACGATGCCCTCCTCCGGTATCGTTTGCGTGTGTGTGTGTGTGTGTGTGTGTGTGTGTGTGTGTGTGTGTGTGTGCGTGTGCGTGTGTGTGTGTGTGTGCGTGTGTGCGTCTGCCTCTCTGCGCCCCAGGGCCCCTCCGCGCTCCTGCGGCGCCCCTCTGCCCTGCGCGCCTCCCTCCGCCCCCTGCCCCGGGCGGGCGCGGGCGCCCCCTCCGCGGGTGCCCGCCGCCCCGGCGCCGCGGCGCGCCGCCCCTGCCCCATACGGGGCTGCCGGCGTGGCCTCCTCCTCCTCCTCCTCCTCCTCCTCCTCCTCCTCCTCCTCCTCCTCCTCCTCCCTCCTCCACCTCTCCTCCTCCTCTCCTCCTCCTCCTCCTCCTCTCCTCTCTCTCCTCCTCTCCTCCTCCTCCTCCTCCTCCACCTCCTCCTCCTCCTCCTCCTCCTCCTCCTCCTCCTCCTCCCTCCTCCTCCTCCCCCCCTCCTACACCTCCTCCTCCTCCGACAGACTTCTCTGCGCAGCCCCCCGCAGGGCTCCTTTCGGCTCTCCCTTGGCACCGCTCGGACGTGTGCATTTCTTCGCGGCCTGCCGCCCCCCACAGGGCTCGCGTCGGCTCTCCCGTGGCATCCCTCGGACGCGTGCATTTCTTCGCGGCGAGAGCCATCGAGGAGCATCCTGGGCCATCGAGCGACAAAAAGCACGCGCGCGACACCGACAAAAATGCACGGGAAGTGGACGTCCCAGCGACGGCAAGCTCCCGATCCGGTCCGATCCGATCTCGATGGGCTTCAGAGTCCGATTCGGTTCGGTGTCGGATTCCGACGCGGATTCCGGTCTCTCAACGGAGGCCGATTTAGCCTGCCGATCTCTGCCGATTCGGCTTCGTCCGACGTTGCTGCCGGTTTCCGCCGATCCGATCCATTTCGATCGCCGATCCGACTTGTCGATTCAATTTTGGGTTCTCCCGCCCCAGTCGCAAGGGTCTATCCGTGGCATGCTCATTCCTCCCCCCTCTCTCCAGTGACGGATTCTATGCTGATTCTGTCTTGAGCTGAAACATGCTGCCCTCGAGTCTTTGGGCAACGCCGTCACCATGCGCAACTCCAACTCTTCCCGCTTCGGCAAGTACAATCGGGTGTTCTTCGACGGCTCTGGGACGTTGTGTGACGCAGGCATTACTACCTACTTGCTGGAGATCACATGGGGGGCATGGCTCAGGAGGAGGAGGAGCAGGAGGAGTGGGAGTAGTAGGAGAAGGAGGAGTAGGGGGAGAAGGAGGAGGAGGAGTAGGAGGAGGAAGAGTAGGAGTAATAGGAGGAGGACGAGAAGTTGGGGCAGTTGAGGCAATGAGGAAAACAGTGGACAAGAGTGAATGGTGGCAATTGGCGCCTTGAGGTCTTGAAGGTCTGGGTTGTGGAGGCACGTTTGTACCCCTCCCTACGGCCGTCTTCGTTGACCGAGGGACCGTAGGGAGAGCTTCGGCCCCCTCCAGCGCCAACGACGGCTTCATGGATTGGTGTACTGATGGGAGTGGGACCCCGGCAGCCCTTCTGATGGTAACTGCCGAGGGGTGGCGCCTATGGTGGTCACCACCGGAGGGGCAGAGGCCTACGATGGTCCTCGCCAGATGAGCAAAGGCAAGGGGGATGCCGATGTGCGGGATCGTCTGGCCGTCCGCGATGCGTCCTGGTCCTGGGGCAGGACTTCCTGAAAGGAGGGGGCAGCACAGAAACGACATACACAGCTTCGACTGAAGTCGTGCACGTCCCTCTACAGGAGGAATTTTCAAGAGTAGTCAGAGAAGAGTCTGGGGACGATTTCTCGATTATTTTGTTGACCATTTTTGAGTAGGTCTGGACCGCTTCTTTTCTTCGTCCAACTTCCGCCTGTGGGAGGACATGCCCGACCCAAGCTTCGGCTCTGGACTGAGCAGGCCCCGCGTGCACGGCATCCCCCCTGGGGGGATCTATACACATACAGTGCCGTTTTTTAAATACGTGCTCCGCGTGCGGATCATGTCTCACAGCTGCAGGGATTTAGTATGAACAGCTACGATGAGTTCATGCATACACTTATGCAAACAATATTCATGTGTTAAACTCCTGTATGTTTACCAATTCCCTGTGTTAAACACTGCCCTGTCTATAGGTGTGTATATATACATACGTATATATGTGTGTAGATGTATTAACTGATGAATTTAATTATTTATTTATGTTTTTTCCATATATATATATATATATCGATATAACGAGTGCGCGCGCTCGCGCTCCGGTGCCAGCTCGCTGCCCCCCCCAGTTGAGGCGGGCGAAGCCCGCGTGCCCCCTCGCGGGGGGGGCAAACGGCCAGGGGCCCCGCGGGGGGCCGCGGCGCCGCCCGCCGAGGGCAGGCCCGGGGGGGGGGGGGGGCTGCGGCCCCCAGGGGCCCGAGGCGGATCGAGGGGGACCGAGGGGGGACGGGGAGGGGGATCGAGGATCGAGGAGGATGAGGATCGAGGGGGATCGAGGGGGACGGGGAGGGGGATCGAGGAGGATCGAGGAGGATCGAGGAGGATGGAGGAGGATCGAGGGGGAGGGGGGCGAGGGGGATCGAGGATGAGGAGGATCGAGGAGGATCGAGGGGGACGGGGAGGGGCCCGAGGAGGATCGAGGAGGGTGGGGGGACGGGGAGATCGGAGCAGGGGGGGGGGAGGGAAGGAGGCAGGATGGACCTCAAGTAGATATTTCGGGGGCGGGCAGACCTCCTACCCTGATGCGTCGATTAATTAGTGAACTGGCCGTTCCCGGTGCGCGAGGGGGCGTCGCGGCCGTCATTTTTGCGGGTCCAGGTCCGCGGGTTTCGGCCGTAGGCCGTTTTCCTTAAGGGGAGGCTTACTACAGGGAGGGTTGTCCACCGCCGAAGATTAATCTGGGCTTATAATGTTCTGGGATTATTCACCAGGGTTCATAATGTCTCGCCCCGAACATTGTGAACCTGGGTTTCATTCTTCTGGGAAAATAGATTGTGGTTCATAGTTTCCCCCCCAGAACATTATAAACCCTGGGTTATAATGTTCTGGGGACATCGACCCCAAAAACATATTAATCTGGGTTCATACCGTTCCGGGAATATTGCCTGGGGTTTATATTGTCCTGGGAATAACGAGCCCAGTTTTCGTAATTCCGGAATGATAGTAATTATTATTTCCCCCCCAACCCCCGGGTTGCCCACCAGGTTTTTCATGTCGCAATATGGTCCCCAGTTTAATATCTCCAGGAGATAATAAGCACGGATTCATATTGTTTCCGGAATATTGATCCCGGGTTAATTACTCTGGAATGATACTGATTGAGTTTGGGGGGCGCCGTTTGAGAGTACGTTCCGGACTGAACTAAACCCTTGTTCATAATGTTGGAATATGAAACTTAGGTGAATCATTCCGGAAAGATATGATTCGGCCGGGGGGGCGCCTGAACCCGATCCATTCACATAATAATAATACATATGGTATCATCTGAAGATAATGAACCTGGGTTTTCATTCCTAGATCATAATACACGGTCGGCGAGGATTTCAGACCTACCCTCGAAGGAGGATGCTGGGGATTGAGGATGGGGGGGGATGAGGAGGAGGAGGAGAAGGAGGAGGAGGAGGAGGAGGAGGAGGAGGAGGAGGAGGAATGAGGAAACGAGGGCAACTGAGGAGGAGGAGAAGGAGGAGGAGGAAGAGGAAGAGAGGAGTGAGGAGGTAGGAGGAGGGAGGAGGTGAGGAGGAGGAGGAGGATGAGAGAAGTGATAGAGGAGGTGGACAAGGATGAGGAGAGGATTGAGGAGGAGAGCACGGTGAGGCGGGTGAGGGGGGAGGGTGAGGAGAGTAGGAGGAGGAGGAAGGAGGAGGGGAGGGAGGAGGAGGATGGATGCGGAGGATAGAGGAGGCAGGGAGGAGGAGGAGGAGAGGAGAGGAGGTAGTGAGGAATTGAGGAGGAGAGGGAGGAGGAGGAGGAGGAGTGGACTAGGAGGAGGAGGAGGAGGAGGATGAGGAGGAGGTAGTAGGCGGTAGGAGGAGGGAGGGGAAGGAGGAGGAGTAGGAGGAGAGAGGAGGAGGTAGGAGGAAGTGAGAGAGGAGTAGGGAGGAGGAGAGGAGGAGGAGGAGAGGAGAGGAGGAGGATGAGAGGAGGAGAGAGGAGGAGGAGGAGGAGGAGGAGGAGGTGGAGAGGAGAGGAGGAGGAGGAGGAAGGAGGAGGAGGAGGAGGAAGGGTGGATGAGGAGGAGGAGGAGGAGGAGGAGGAGAGAGGAGTCTGGAGGACGTAAGGGGGAGGAGGGGGAGGAGGAGGAGGAGGATAGGAGGAGGAGGTAGTGAGTAGGAGGAGGAGGAGAGGAGGAGGAGGAGGAGGAGGGGAACGGGGAGGTGGGCGGGGAGGCATATCTTGAGCTAAAGATCTGGGCTTCATGTCCAAACAAGAAGAGGAGCATCTCGAGCTAATGACTGGCCAGCGTCACAAAGGCGAAGGAGGAGGCAGGAGGAGGAGGAGGAATGAGGAGGAGGGAGGGGGAGGAGGAAGGCGCCGCGAGGCGCCCAGGCGCCCGTGGAGGGGGCGGCCCACGGCCCCCCTGGGAGAGCTCGCGGGTTGTCGTGAGGCCCCGCGGAGCGCTCGAACGCCTGGGTCGCTATGCCCGTCGCCCCCGCTATCCACCACCATCGCTCATTCCCTCCTCCACCTCCTCTCCTCCTCTTCCTCCTCCTCAGGAACGTAGCAAACTGCTAGCTGAACTCCATCCTCCTCCTGCTCCTCCGCCTCCGCCTCCCTCCCTCCTCCCTCCTCCCCCCGCTACAGTGGAAGCCCATGCCAAGAAACACCCTGCTTGCCTCCAGGGCGCCCCGAGTTTCTTGGGCCTCGGTGCTTTGGCCGTGGAGAGCTCGGACGCCTGGGTCGCCACAGTGGAGACCCATGGCCTTCGCCGTGGCCAGTCGGCGCGCCCTGGCCCGGCGAATGGCATCGTCATCGGGGGGACAGGCGCAGGGAGTGGGCGCGTCGACCCCCAGTCGTCCACTCGTCGCCGCGGGGGGCCCGACAGCCCAACCCCGCCGAGGAGCGTTCGGATTCACCATCGGGGGCCCATCGCCGATCTGTCGGCCACGTACAGTGGGGGCACGTGCCAAGAAACACCCTGCTTGCCTCCGGGGTGCCCCGGGTTTCTTCTTGTCAGTGGCACCGTAACGGGTACTCACAAACGGGTACTTTGGAGATCTGCCGAAAGTTGTCACTTTAGGGCCTCTTTCTGGCAATGCAGCGTTGCCCGCATCGGGAAGGGTTGGTTCGCTGGGTCACTGGCCAAAGTACCCGTTAGTGGAGTCCCCGTTTGTGGGGCGCTGATCTTGGGTTTCGATGCCTTTGCCATGGAGAGCGGCGCTCCCGCGCCAAAGAGCAGTGGACGCCCTGGGGTCTCAGGATTGGGTTTCTGGTGGAAGGTTTCTTGTGGGCTGACCTCCACTGTATGCCCGTGGCCCCCTCTTTGCCGTGCCCTTCGACGCCAGTCGAAGAAGAACAACGCCACAAACATAAACTTTGGCGCTCCGTGCGGATTTCTTGGATCCGCGCTGGGCCCCACCGGCGGCGCCTTCGGCGCCGCCCTGGCGCACTCCGCGACCCAAGTCAACCCAGGCCAGATCTAAGAAATCCGCGCGGAGCGCCAAGAGTTTCTGTGCATGGCGTTTTTTTTCTTCTAGCCAGTTCCCTCGGGCGGGTGGTAATCAAGGGCAGCAAAACGCCCCTACCCTGGTTTACGAGGCGCTGTGCTCTGAAACTCCTGTGGGCTGGCAGGGTAAACCCTGCGTGATGTGCCGCGTCCTGGCGGCTCTAGGCTTTGGGGGTTCCCAGGAGGTTTACAGACCACGCACTTGTAACGCAGGGTAGGGTCGTTTTTTTCATCCCTCAAGGTAATGGGGGGTGACCTAAGCGGGAAGTGACGAGAAGGGCCCTCCCGAAGGGGGGCCCCTTTCGGGCCCCCTTTTTGGAGCCAGCAGGGCCCCCCTTGGGGCCCCTCTTGGGCTTCAAGGGCGGCCGACGGCCCCAGGAGAGCTCCCGGGTGGTCGTCCACGGAGACCGCGAGCGGAGCTACCACTGCTTCTACGAGATGCTCGCCGGGCTGGAGGACGACAAGCTGCAGGCCAGGGCTCGACCTACGCTGAAATCGGGCCTGTCCCTCTACAGGGGGAATATTCAAACATACAAACAAATAGTCCAGGGACGATGTTTTGACAATTTCTTGGATTTTGGGAGTATTTTTGAGTGTATGTTAGATTTTTCATTCAAAATCCCCTGTAGGGGGACAGACCCGACTTACACCTAAGCGGTGTTTTGACGATTTCGAGGGCCGCCGTGCGACGGGCGCAGAGCGAAGACCACACGACAGCGAACACACACTGTTTAGTTTATTGGGTCGATCCCTGCTGCAGGCCTTCCAGCTCGAGCGCCAGACCGGGGAGTACCGCCTGATATCCACGCGGCAGGTCTGGCGGCGCCGACATTCTCCCGCCGCCCCTATCGGGTGTTAGTTACCGAAGGTCTTGGCATCGCTCGGATCTGTGCATGTTGTCCTTGGCGGGGACCACCGTTGAGCATTCCAGATCGTCTTGCAGGAACACTCCATCAACAACAACAGCATTACCAAACACAAAAACTACAGCAGCAGCAACAGCACCACCACCACCAACAACAACACCAACAACGACAACAACAGCAGCAGCAACAGTCATTATAATATAGTTCGCTCTTATCGGCTCGCATGCTCTTATCGGCTCTTATCGGCTCGCTTTGGTACCCGCCCTCTTCGTCTTCGATCGTGCCCCCTTTGGGGTATATCTATCTTACTTGCAACATGTATTTCGTGCAGCCCCTGAGGCAGGGGAAAGAGGACGGATGGAAGGAAGAGGCGAGGGGCAGGCGGGTTGCTGAAGCGTGCGTCCTGCATGAATCGCGGGCAAGTCTCGAGCGATAGCGCGATTCCCGAGTAAATCGTCAGGAAATCCACTTCGAGAGTGTAACTGTTGAGTGTCGAGGGCGCGGCGTTTGCGTAAATTGTGAGGAAATCCCACGCGAGAGCGCGATTCCTGTATAATTTGTAAGGAATTCCCATGCGAGAGCGCGATTTGAGAATCCATTGTGAGGAAGTGCGGGAGCCGTTATTGTTCCCCATTTCCTAAGGATGGTTTTCTGGTTATTCCCCATATCATAAGGATGGGGTTATTGTTATTAGTTTGACCGCGCGGAGAACGAGAGAGAATACACCTCCCACCCTCAGGTCATCATTCTCTGATTCACTCAAATGTAGACTCACTCATATGCACACCCACTCATACTCAGATGCACTTGCTCTTAGATTCCTGATACTCAGGTTTTTCATGCTCGGGATCACTCATAAGCAGGCTCACTGATACTCCCGGTACTTCCGCGCTCAGGCTCACACACACACGTTGTGAGGATGTCTCAGGCGAGGCGCTGGTTTCAGCACTCCCAAAGGGGGGGGCGCCAGGATGTATGTCACGGGCCCGTTCGCGCCCAGATTGGGGGATGTCTCAGGCGGCTTGCCGGTTTCGGTGCCCAAGATCCTTCTCTGTCGGAGCAGTTCCCGAGGATGTCTCAGGCGAGGCGCTGGTCTCAGCACTCCGAAGGGGGGGGCGCCAGGGGATCTATCACGGGCCCGATCGCGCCCAGATTGGGGGGGTGTCGCTGGCGGTTTGCCGGTTTCGGTGCCCAACATCCTTCTCTTTCGGAGCAGTTTTCGGCGCCCTGACAGGTGTTCAGAGGAACAGAGTGAGAAAGAGGAGGAGGAGGACACGGAGGAGGAGGAAGAGGACAGGAGGAGGAAACACCTAGTTAAAATTGTCGTCGTCGTCGGCGTCTCTCTCTCGGCTTCGCCTTCCACGCGAATGCGCTGACACTCAGATATTGAAAAGGACAATGCCTTCTACCGAAGCATGCCATCACTATGAGATGTACATATGGGGATCTCCGCGTCGAGTAATTACTTAGACCGCGCGGAGAACGAGAGAGAACACATCCCACCCTCAGGTCATCATTATCTGATTCACTCACATGTAGACTCACTCATATCCAGATTCGCTCATACTCATATGAACTCGCTCTTAGATTCCTGATACTCAGGTTTCGCATATGCTCGGTATCGCTCAGATGCAGACTCACTCACGCTCCTGGTACTTCCGCGCTCAGACTCACACACACACACAAACACACACACACACCCACCCACCCACACACACACACGCACGCACGCACGCACGCACGCACGCACGCCCGCCCGCCCGCACGCCCGCCCGCCCGCCCGCCCGCGCGCCCGCGCGCCCGCGCGCCCGCGCGCCCGCGCGCCCGCGCGCCCGCGCGCCCGCACGCCCGCTCGCCCGCACGACCGCACGCCCGTACGCCCGCCCGCACGCACGCACGC